GAACCATCAGTGTAAAATAAAATAGATGATAGATTGTGATTTGAGTTAGCAATAGTCTGAAGATTGTTAACAAGTTGACATATTTCAAAAATAGATGGTAGTTGTTGTAAATTAATTGTGAGTAAAGAAGAAGGTAGAATATATAAAGGATGTCAAAGAGCAACAGAGTATGCAATATCAAGAAAGTTTGCATAAAGGTTAAGAATTTTGTCAGAATTGATACAACAAAGCAGTTTAGTAGCCAAGTTGGTAGGAATAAAAATAGTATATTTGTTAGCAATTGTATTTAAATTAAGGTGACATCTAGTACATAATGTAGTAGTAAAAGAAAAAGTAGGATAGAGATTAGAAAACTGAGACTGAAATGAGCAGTGCCAGTAGTTGATAAAAGTAAGACCAGTAGGTGTATTATGCCTTCTGGCTTTGCCAACAATTATTTGGTTATCAAGAACAGTAAGTAACTAAGATATAGTGTTGAAAGTGAAGTGGTCAGTAGAGTAGCAGAAGTAGTTTATAGAAGGTAAATTATAATAATCATATAGAGTCTATTGGTAGAAGTAACTTGTAGTAATATTTCCAAGAGTAGTAAACTATTGTGATATAACACCTTTTGGAATTTTGTTAAGTCTAGGTAAAATATGTTGCTAGTGCAAAAGATATGAGTTGTTATGAGTAGTAAGTTGGTCCAAAAAAAGAAGTTTATAGAGTATTTTGGATGAGAGAAAAGAAGAGATTCAAGATTTTTTTTTAATATTTATTAATATAAAAAACAAAATATTATAAAGGAACCATATAATTAATAAATTAGGTCACAAATAGCTATAAATTGTAGTTTAAAATTCTCTTGTGCTTTTTTTTTTACTTGATAATTTTTTCTAAAGTTATATTTTAGTTTAAAAGATATAATGATATCAAGTATTGAATCTGAAAAAACTTCACAAGCTGAAAATTTTCTAGAAATTAATAACTTATTAGAAGATAATCTTCAAACTAAAGGTTTCCAAGCCAATTCAAAAAAACATAAGCATCATCATAAAACAAATAGACAATCTGCACCATGCTGAAAATATTTTAAAAAAGTAGAAGAAGAAACAGTATGTGAGGTTAAAATTAAAATAAATAGAAAGAAAAAGAATTGTGAAAAAAAATTTAAATATCTTTCTGAATAGTCAACATCCAACATGAATTCACATCTTGCAGATAAATATAATATAGTAGAATTTCAAAAAAACCAGGTAAATAACCAACTTTATGACTTTATCTAAAAAAATTAAATTTAATAAATTTAGTCAATAAATTTTAAAGTAATACAAAAGGTTCTTAGCAAACTATCACTACTATGCTACAATATGTTGTTCTTCATAAAAGAACTAAAACTTAATATTTGTCATACTGTTGCAGAATAGCTTGTGATTGATAATCAATCATTTGAAGTTATTATCAGAGAAGGGTTTTATAAATTTATGTTGCAAATAGACACTGCCTTTTGTTAGCCTTCTTATAAGGCATTAAAAAAAGAAATATCTATTGCAAATGTAACTGCAGAAAACCAAATAAATGATCTTTTAGCACAAAGTAATGAAACAATTTCTCTAACAACTGACTTTTGAATAGCAAGAAATAAAACAGAATATATTGGAATAACTGCTTATTAGTTAAATGAAAAGTTTGAATTAAATGAAATCCTACTTTGTTTAGAGTCAATGTCATATCCCAATACTAATCATATTATTAAAGAATTTCTTATTAATAAAGCTCAAAAATTTAATTTACAAAATAAAATTCTTTGCATTATTACTAATAATAATAGTAATATGATAAAGGCTATAAGAAATTAGGAAAATATAGAAAGATTGTTATGCATAGCCTATACCTTATAATTATTAATCAATTATGCATTTAAAGCAAAGTGTCAACAAATTATCTGTATACAAAATTTGGATAAATTTTTTGATTCACTTAAACAAAGTTAAAGATTAGATACTGCACAAATTGAAATGCAAATAAGCAGAAAGAAATGACTTGTAATAATCCATTTTCATCTGATAAATCCAAAAATAATATTAATTTTAAAGATAATAATGAAATAATAGTTGATGATAAAATAACTATTGATAAGTTTGTACCTATATTGTGAATTATTAAAGATATACCAACCTATTGGAATTCTAAATTCTGATTTTGGAAAAGGTTAATTGAGCTGTGTCTTGCAATCAGACAGTTTTCAGTAACATTACCTCTTGAAGATAATTTAGATGCACAAAAAGATGGTCAAAAATTAAACAGTTTAATGCTACAAGATAATGAATGAGATCTTGTTAAAAGGTTAATTGAAATATTAGAACCTTTTAACAGTGCTACTAAATATTTTAATGCTGGATAATATCCTACTATAGCATATATTTATCTATTAATAAAGGCAATAAAGGTTCATTATTCAAAAAATATAGATATTGAAGAATATGATTATAACAATGAAGGTATAAAATTTTAATCAGTAATTAAAATTATAAAATGTCATAAAATACATTTAAATAAAAAAAAATTATTGTGAATAATTATGAAATTAGATGATACTAAAATTATTGTATTTGAGTATTAGGGTTAGGATGATTAGCTAATGAAAGCTTAATTATTCAAGTTTCATAATTATTAGCAATAAAAAATATAATATGCCAAATGATAATCAAAGTGTCTTTGCCTTAAAAATAACCTTGGATAGGAATATGTCAGATCCTAGCTGAGATCAATTTACTATAAAACTATTCTCCTTCCCCCTGCTTGAGAAATTTAGTCATTCTGATTAGTCATATATATTTAAACCTTAAGATTTTGTCTACCTTCCACTCTACAATATTAGCTAATATCTGATACTTCCCTTATTGTATTATATAAAGCCAAAGACCTATTTGACATAACAATTTTTTTTAATATATACTTATCGAGTATATCTAATATTAATTATATTAGGTTTCCAAGAAGTATCTAATTATAATTTGAAGTCTAAGTCATCAGATAATAAAAACAAAAATAATATATCCTTTTATATTCAAGAAAATTAGTCAGAAAATAATTCTGAATTAATTTCAAAAAACATACAAAAAATTATATATAACTTACTTTTTGAATATTAGGACTATTCATTACAAATTTGCCTTCTTGCAACATTATTAGACTCTTAACTGAAAGAAATGTCTTTTGCAAATGAAGAAACTCATTGTAATACTATTAATAAATGTAAACATCAACTTTACCAACTAATAAATATACAATCATCAACATCAAATGAACATATTATTTCATCTCGCTCAAAAAATTTCTCTTCTAATAATATATTTAAAAACCTTATATTTGGTAGTGCTCAAAGATCACAAGAATTTATGAATGAATTGAATTCTTATCTTGACCTTAAATGAACACTACTAGCTGTTCCTAATAGAGATCCTTTTTTATAATGATAACAGAACCAAGTTCAATTTTTAATTCTCTTAAAACTAATCAGAAAATATCTTAGCATTCCTGCTATTTCTGCTTTTAGTAAGCATATTTTTTCTAATACTAGAAATCATATTACTTTTTAATATTCCAATCTAAAACCCAAATTAGTTTCTCGAATATTATTTCTAAAAAGAAATAATAATTTTATTAATATGTTTTCTAACTATTATATATATAAAAAAATATATAAAATGTCAATTAGAACTTCAATACTATTTTTGATTGGCAATCTACATCAGATTATATATAAAGCTAGCTTTATAATACATTCTTAAGTTTATTATTACTAATCTGAGTAAAAATTTCTAATTGATAACTGAATCTATTTGGATTTAAAGATCAATTCAGATAGTCAGATTAAGGATCAAAGCTCTAATATATACTTAACTTACTATTTTAAAATTAAAAATTTATAGGATATAATTAATATAGTAAGAAAAAAATTTTTGAAATAAAAAGAATTTTACCAATATTGGCAGATAATTTTCAGAATGATTAAACCTAATGAATTTTTTATATCGAAAGTTATCTATATAATATAAAAATTTCACTTATTTTTTATTAACCTAACTACAATTATTATAAATATAACTTCTGATAAGTTATAATAAAGGTCTTCATTACATTTATGTTCGACTCTTTATTTGTGAATTTTTAATTACTTTTTAGAAAAAAAACAAATATTAACAAAAATTTTTACAAAAAAATAAAAGCTCAAAGAAGTATATCGAACATATTGAACAAATAAAAAAATTTATACATATCTAAGCTCATAGGAGGAAAATTGTTTGATTAGCTAATTTTTATGGATCTACTTGTAATTATCTGTAATAATTAGTTAATTAAATTATATAATTTTAAAAAAATTCATTGCTTTAATGTTATATTATTACTAGAAAACAAAAGAAACTTTATACAAAAAAGTTGATAAATTATATAAATATACAAAAGAATTAATTTATTTTAAATATATAGAGGATAGATAGATACATGTAGAGTAAAAGTGTTATTTATTAGTAATAAACCAAAAAACTTATTCATTATTAATACTATCTACAATCTATAAACCAAAACTTATTACAGCTGATGAATCCAAACACAATGCAAGAATCAAACATATTCAAGTATTAAATCTGGAACTTTTTTCACAGTAAACCTATTCTTATTTAAGTTCAATAAATAAATGTTTTTTAAAATCTAATGTAATAAGGCAGTTTTGAACAAAAACATTCCCATTTATTTTTTTTTTTCAAGATCATTCAATAAACAATAGGTATATTTTGTCTTTTAGGCAAAGTCTACGAGAAAAAAGATTATTTTGAGATTATTTTGTATAATGAATAATAATGTTCATTAGAAGCTATAAATAGTTTTTTAGACAATTTTTTGTTTGTAAAACATAGTGCTACCAAAAAGTACTTTAAAGTATATAAATAAGTTATTCAAGCAATTAATTTATATTAGCCAATCAGATGATTTTCCTTATATGATATCTAAGCCACAAAAATTGAATACAAGTTAGCTGATTATGTCAGATCAACCAATCATATCAGGTCAACTGATTATATCAGATTAACTAATTATACTGAGTCAACTAATTATGTTAAATTAACTGATAAAACATTTACTTAATCAGTTCATCTGAATTTGTTCAGTTCAGATTAGTTATCTAATTAAGGCCTAATTGGTTCAAATCATTACTTGTGCATTATCTGTTAAATATAGTATGAAGATCAAAATATTTAATTAGATAATCTTCTAGCAGATTACAGATATGATAGCTAGTATAGAATTTGCAAGTAAACTATTTAAATAAATAGTTAAAGCTATATATGTAACTAGTTGCATATTTACTTTGTACAAGTTATATAATTATAATTAAATCATAAAATAGCAATAGTTATCAAGAACTAACAATCTTAGTAAAAGCAAAAAAAAATTTAATAATATACTTAACTGCCACAAAGATTTTATAAAAATTAACAATATTAAAATACTAAACAATATTATAACAAATTTTAAACTCATCAAAGAATATATCAAACAAAATTTTAATAACTAAACTGCTTATAAATCTACTAACACTTATAAATTTAATTCTAACTGATTAAAAAAATATTAGCTTAAAACTATAACTAGTTCAGATTATTACAGTTTAGCTTTAGCTGAATTTTTATTAAATAAAATTTTTACAACTTTTAGTTAACTACTTAATAACAAGACATATAGCCTATTTGAAATTAGCTATAAGATGCTTAAACAGGCTGGCTTTGTTTTTCTTTAAACAATAACTATTTTTTTTAATTAATGCATTCAAACTAACTATATATTTAAGTAATAAAAAAAGAATTGCATTTTTCTAATATTTAAAAAACCTATTTTTAATAAAAACCTATTCAATACAAAACTTATTAGTCTGATAAAATATATCAAAATCTATATATCAAACTTCTTATCAATTATCTTAATCTAATATTTATTCAACATTCTATTTTATCTTCTTATAATTATATTGCTTTATCTAACAATAGTAACTTTACTCTTTTATATATACTTAACAATATTA